GGTGGACAGTGGGGTGAGGAGGGGGTGGGGGTAGAGGGGGATGTCTACAGACTGGACTCATGCACACAGACCCACCTCATCTGGGTGTGAAACAATGAGTTCACTGCTGCATGACTGAAAAACAAAATGAGAATGTTTACACAACAAGGTATCTGTCTAGGCAGTGTCCCCAGTCCCTGAGCTGTCACACACACACTCAGACTTTGCCTGTTCTAAACTAAATAAGAGTAAAAGTCACTTGGAAACCTGGGCAGGCTGCTCACACTGAAAGTGCAGTCGTGTGACACAAACTCTGAAAGTGCACAAACTCTGAAGGAGCCAGAGGCTTCCTCCTCGCTCAGAGAGCAGCTATTCCCTTCAGCCTCTCCATCCCTTCCCAGACTGCTGTACCCCAGATTCCCAGCTCTTTCACCCCCTCCGACCCTGCGTCACTGCTCAGTGGGGCACTAACCCCTCACGTCTCCTGGGGTGACAGGGAGCTCTCCCGGGAGTGTGGGGGTGCCGGGAATCAGTAACAGGCTGCCCAGCCATGTGATTGGAGCCCGAACTCTGGCTTCTGTCAAGAAATGCCAGATGAAATCCTGGGATCAATTAGCTATTTAAAACTATTGAAAAGGCTGGGTGGACCGAGTGGATTCCTCTTGTCTGTAGCTGTTCTTAAGCTTCACACAGAGTGGAAAATGGTTTTGTTACAAAATTCCTGTGAGTTTGTGAGTGAGATTTACTGCTCTGCACTGTAAAAGCAGAGCAGACAGCAGCACAGCCCAATCCAGCAACGCTGAAAGAGATCAGGGCAAAGTGCAGTAAATACAGCATAGGAGCATGTAGTAACATCCATAAAGGACTCATCAGGCATTGTCTTTGTAAGATACTACAGTGTCCAGTGTCTCTGTAACATACTGTAGTGTCCAGTGTGTCTGTCTGTGCTGTAGTGTCCAGTGCCTCTGTAAGATACTGTAGTGTCCAGTGTGTCTGTAGGGTCCTGTAGTGTCCAGTGTGTCTGTACAGTGCTGTAGTGTCCAGTGCCTCTGTAAGATATTGTAGTGTCCAGTGTGTCTGTATTGTGCTGTAATGTCCAGTGTGTCTGTGGAGTGCTATTGTCCAGTCTGTCTGTAAGATATTGTAGTGTCTAGTGTGTCTGTATTGTGCTGTAGTGTCTAGTGTGTCTGTATGGTGCTGCAGTGTCCAGTGTATCTCTGTACTCACTTGCCATTGTTGAGAATAACAGAGCAGTTGGGCCAGCAATCATGGTTGACCAGACACAAGTTGGGAAACAGTCCAACGCCCACTGCCTGCAGCCCACGCTGGTCACTGACCGTGAATCCGTTACAGTTAATCTGCCAACGAGAACACAGTTTGGATTGTCAGCCAGCCCGGTGTACAGCGAGACTTCAGTGCGAGAAATTACAGAGACCTAGTGTTTCACAATGGCACTCACTAGTCTCTCAAGTGTGCAAATACAGCCTGCTGTAGGAACATCTGTCCCTGCTTGATGTGCAAAGGTATGCAATCAGACAATATACTGTAGCATCAAACATCTGTCAAAGAAACTCATTTTAATATGACACAGCTCTGAGGAGTTACCAGGAACAGTGAGCCTGTCTCTCAATAATAATAATACAGCATGTGATCTCCTGTCTTGGCAACACTGTCATCCACTGGTCATGCCATAAGCTTGTTGAGCAGAATGAGAGGAAGGCAGGAGGAGAGTGAGAGAGAGAGAGTGACGCACAACGCCGAAGATGTGTGAGATGTACTCCACTCCAAACTGGCGGCTGTGGGGCGGCCAGTAGTCCAGGAAGTTGTGGACATCGATTTTCAGTTCCTTCCTGTCTTCCTCAGGCATGTCGGCCACATGGTCCTCCAGCTCGTCCAGGGAGGTCAGGCTGCCCTCGGCCTGAGAGCTGCCCTCTCGCTCGATGCGCCACAGCACCCTCGCTGCCAGCCTGGCACAGACAGACAGGTGGACAGAGAGCCAGAGAGAAAGGCTTAGAAAAGAGGAGCGAGGACACACGCTACTTCAAAAGAGCTCTGCCATTTTTCACAGGTTTTCTTTGTTACAAACTCTGTACCCCACTTCTCAGTTCACCAGACACACACACTGTACCCCTCATCTCAGATCACCACACACACACTGTACCCCTCATCTCAGATCACCACACACTGTACCCCTCGTCTGGCTCACCGGACACACCCACTGAACCCCTCGTCTGAGCTCACCGGACACACACTGTACCCCTGGGCTCACCGGACACACACACTGTACCCCTTGTCTGAGCTCACCACACACAGTACCCCTGGGCTGACTGGACACACACACTGTACCCCTGGCCTCACCACACACACACTGTACCCCTGGGCTCACCACACACACACACTGTACCCCTGGGCTCACC